AAACGTGATGACAGACACAAAAAAAAAATAAAAAAAAAACACACATCATTGTAAAATCAATACATTCATCGTTTCACTCAGAATCTAAAATCTAGTCATTCCAGTCACATTTTTTTTATAAGCATTTAAATTTCAAATATTGACAAAATACGTAAAATTCACGAAAACATGCGAATTATATTGGGTTAGAAATTCATAAAAATGTTTCTATTTAAATCTAAGATTTGAACATGTATTACAATATTCCTTATAAGTTTTTCTACCTTTATCAAAAAAATGTTTACAAATTTCAAATGAAATTTTTATGAGCTTTTGAAGTTCATATTTTTACAAGATTATTATTATTATTATTATTATTCACTCGATTTCTCATATATCGATTTTTTTTTTGCAATATAAAAACGAATAACTGCAGATACATAAAAATTTCACTGAATGTTGATATTTTCATTTTCTATACACCATAAAATTTTGACTTTTTTTGAGCTGTTTACGAATATTGTCAGTTTTCAATTTTTTTAGTTTTTTTTTTCTATAATAATTGTTAATAAAATTGTATTTGGTGAGCAAAAAAGCATGAAAATTTAATACAAGACTCCTGATATATTGTTACAATATCGGTTGAAAAATATTAAAATTACATTGAAACAATTTATTTTTATAAACAATTAAAGTTTGAATTTTGACAAAATGTATCAAATTTAAATTTAATAATTATTTTTAGTTAAAAATGTATAAAATGTTCAATTTTTATATCTATGGATTGAAAATTTAAATCAAGGTTCCATATAAATAGGTTATATAATATAATATTATATATTAATATATTATAAATTACTTTATTCACAATAATATCATCAAATATACTTAGTAATATCATAGGCTGACTGACCGTCTTCGTTCAGAATTGTTTTTCTTATGCAATGATATTATATCATTGAATTCAAATTTAACACAACCATTGATCCATTACAGTAACTCACTTGTAACTTACTGTACAGCAGAACCACACCCATGCCCCCCTTTTTAAATATTAAATAATTATTATCTTGAACAAAAGTTTTTGTTTTTACAATCTTTATATGATATATAATTTTCGATGTATTTCATGTGGTGAGTTCGATTCTGTAGTTTAATAATAATAATGAATTAACAGGAACAATTTTACAATCAATCAAAGGTAAATTCAATAATTATTTTCTTGAAATAAAATCCAATAAAATCATTAATTGGTTCTGATTAAACCAAATCGCCTAACACTAAATTATTTCGTATACCTATTATATATAATTTATTACTTTATAAGTACATAAAGTAAATCCAAATATATTGCCAATAGCAATATAAAATATAGACAAGGTCTCAACAAAACTGAAAAAGTATATTGACTGTCGTGACCAATTAAATACCAAATTCTAATAAGTTATAACTAATAAGTAATGATACCTATATAATTAATAGTTACCTATATATATATATATATAGTAATAGCCTAACAAACTTCCCAAGCAGTATTCTTATAATTTGGTAACGAATATCGTAATTCGTGGCTATATTTATCAGTTTTCCGTAAATCACAAAATCTTAATTTTAATTCTCTACGACTCAGAGAACCTATAGGTAGTTTAGTAATACAATTATATCCTTATATCCTTCGACTTGGTAAGTGGTAAATAAATAGGTAGGTACTTAATGAATATCCAATTGTCTTAGTTCTTGTAATTTCTTCAGTGACCCACTTGTAAGTTGTAACCTACTGTACAGTAGATCTACACCCATTTGCCCACCTTTTTATATTTAATGACAACATTTTTATTTTTATTTTTTAGGTAATATCATTGAGTATAGATAGTATTTCTGGCCCCCCCATATAAGAGTGTCAGCGGCACCCAGTATAATTCTAGTTACCGAGAAATGAAATAGATAAATAAATGTCATTGTGTTATTATTATTGTATTTATGAATAGGTATATAGACATTATGTCTTCCTTACAGGACACCTTTTTTTAAAACTTATTTTTTTTATTCACACTTATGTAGTTTTTGATACTGAGAAAGGAGAATGGTGGTGCAATCAAAATATGGGGGAGGTCATGCTTATTTTCAGTTATGGAGTTGGAGTTATATATACAATAATTGGCACAATTTTTTTAGGATTCCATCGTTTTAATTTTGGTATCGTTGAGATTTTTGATTTTTAACAACAAAAAAAGGTGGGCAAGTGGGTGTTGCTCTGCTGTACATTAAGTTACAAGTGGGTCACTGTAATGGATGGTGTTACATTTGAATTCAGTGATATAATATCATTGTATACGAAAAACGATTCTGAGCGAAAACGGTCAGTCAGCCTATGGGCTATGATATTAGGTATACAAAGTATATTTGATGACATTATTGTGAGTAAAGTAATTTATTTACCTATTAGCGCGGACCCTTGTTTTAAATTTTCAATCCTTAGTTATACAAATTGAACTTTTCATAATTTTTAAATTTTAAATTTGATAAATTGTATAAAAATTCGAAACTTCAATGCTTATAAAAAAAAATTAAATAAAAATATTTCAGAAGCCTTGTTTCATTTAATTTTCACGCTTTTTGACAAATTTTTATTTCATTTTAATGACAATTATAAAAAATAAAAACTAAAAAAATTTAAAATTTAAATTGTCTCTAAACGGCTCAAAACGAATCAAAATATTTTTTAAAATTGTATTAATTATGGGAATTAATAAGATAAACTCATTACACATGGTGTAAGTTTCAAGTAGGTATCTATAGTTATTCGCTTTTAAATTACAACAAAATAAGAAAACCACTACTTGAGAAATCGAGTGAATATCCAATCTTGTAAAAATATGAACTTCAAACGCTCATAAAAATTTTATTTGATTTGCTTGTAGACATGTTTTTGATAAGGGTAGAAAAACTTGAGGAATACTTTATTACATTTTCAAATTTTAGATTTTACGAAGTGCTATTAATGAATAGCTTCTTCTTCAAGCCAACCATGACCAATGCCCTAATTGTATTTCCCCTCCACTGTGCTTATTGTAATTATATTTTTATACAGATTGTACAAATAAAAACAAATATGACCAAAAAAAAAAATTTTAGATTTAAATACAAACATTTTTATGAATTTCTAACTCAATAAAATTTGCACATTTTCATAAAATGTAGGTATTTTGTCAATATTTAAACTTTAAATTTTCATAAAAATTTAAATTTGATATTTTGATAGATATTTTATTTCTGACAAAGGTAGAAAAACTTATGCGAGGAATCTTGTATTACTATTTCAAATCTTAGATTTAAAAAGAAAAATTTTTATGAATTTCTAACTCAAAATAATTCTCACATTATCGCGATTTTAACCTTTTGTCAAAATTAGAACTGTAATAATGTTTATAAAAAAAATAATATCATAATAAATAAGTCATTTAAATTCATGTTAATAAATCTTTGATTATTATACTTTTGAATCACTCTTCTATTTACCTATTCATACGCAAGGAACATTATTGTATATGGTATATAGTATCAAAATAGCACCCTCCATATAAAAAAAAACTTCTAGATTCATCAAGGTCATTGTTTTTTAACTTCTAAATGATATTAACATTTTTTTTATATCAACTTAACTTAACGAGTAAAAAAATATTAGTTAACTTACCCAGCCTTGAAAGTTTAGTTTGCAACAGTTACTAAAATAAACGAAGTGTGTCAATAGCTATAATGCCAGCAGTACTTACAAATCGTATGGCACTAAAAATAACTCTGATTGCACAGGCATTTTGACAGAATCCTTAGCTTATTTAACTAGAGAAGTCTCATCAAAGAAACACGTCGACCACATCAAAAATAATATAATTGATGTCAACTTATATAGGTACATAAAATATTTTTATATTTACACTAGGCAGCTCTGACTTCTTGATACGCTCACCAACCATTGCCAAATATCAAAAATAATTACTAGATTTCATAAAAATTAAAGGATTTAATAAAAATTATGGTACCTACTACCTATAATAGTATGTAAAAATAAAATGTATGAAATTAATTTGATATTCTATCATATTTTAATTAAGCATCCAATTTATTGTTTTTACTTAAGTTTAAAGTATATAAAATATTTATTAGTCAATATCTACTTATTTTTATCACTTATAAGGTTTTAAACTTATAAATTATAATTGATAATAATACATTAATTGTTTAATAGTGATATTTAATTAACTATAATTTAGAAATGTATTTGAGTTTGAAATAATTAGGATAGGCACTTACGATTTGACTCAACTCTATCATTTTGTGCATTAAAAGTAAATTTAAAAGTTGTCTGTTATGAGTAGCATTGATCAATTTTTTTTATAGTTACAATTTTTTAAAAAAATTGATTTAGTAGGTACTTGATAAAAAAATTTGAATAATTATTAAATATTTATTTGTTTTTGGTATCTAACTGCCATAATGGTCAGCATATTTTTTAATTAGCTACCTAATAAAAACACTATAGGTATATTAGTGTAATAGCTACATTAATACAATAATTAATTTGTTTTATAATACAATGTAGGTAAGACAAATAGGTAGGCATATGATATTATAAACGATTTTTCTATTGAATGTTTAAAATAGAATATTTTAATTTTTAAATTGATTTAAACAAGATTCTTAACTGACAGTAGGATCACAAAATTTAAAAGTTGTTGCTAGATCTAAATTACTTTGTGACCTCGTTGAGCTTGATCCAGATGATTTTGTCAACTAGCAATAGATGCACCTCAAATTTAATACTTTCTAATTCAGTGTCAGACGCCGTTGCTACTTATTATTCATATATAAAATATCTTTATCTTTTCATACAAATATACATTATGCTATATACATAATCCCCCCTATGGAGCCCAAAAAGAATAGATTTAAATAAATAGACATTAAATTAATATAATAATGGTTTATTCAGTGTCTAAAATCACTTATAAATTGGTCAATCACTACTGATTTGCACAATAAGATTTTAGTTCAGATAAATAACAGGGTCTGCGGCAGCATTCATCGATGATACTTCTTTTGACAGAGCGCCGAAAACGTGAGGGCATAAATGACATTTCTTCTTTCTTTAGGTATGGTAAGTCAATAGCATTGTAGTCTTCGAGGTCTTTGTAATCCCATAGATCAAAATCTGTTAATAAAATATTAAAGTACGTATTGTTAAAATAATGTTTAGATTTTGAATAGAGTAAATAAGAAGGTACATTTTATTCTCTGTTACAACTTAGTAACACGTGGGGAGATTATTGTTAAAATCCTACACTGAGAAAATAATTTAAAAATAAAACTTTTTTTAAATTATTATTTTGTGTTATATATTGTAAAGTTGTAAGCATTAGAAAAAATGAAAATACCTTGAAAACACTTTATATTTGAATTAAAAACAATGATTTTAGAGAATTAAACCTACCTCAGAATTTAATTTTGAATTTAATTATGCATTATTGTTATTTTTAGGTTAGTTTGAACCTTAAAGTGTTTTTAAGGCACAAATTATGAAGTATGAACTTACCGGTTTCACTTCTTTTTTGTCCTTTTGGTACATTGTACTTGGTATTGCATAGAGCTTTCATGATGTCCGCCAATTTAGAACCACAGTAATGCTGAGGTGAACGTTGGAGTCTAACATTAGCTGTTACAATTTTGATCACTAATGCCAAGAGGAGTACGCTCAAATACATACTTATCTTCATTGTTGGTATTCTAAATTGGAAAAAAAATGTTTAAATAAAATTCTGGAGAATATAAATAAACGGTCAGTTACAATCATATACAATTTTTAAATATCAAACTAAAGTACTGTCTATCCTTATAACATTATGGCTAAGCACTCAAAAAAACTACATACCTTGATTAAATGAATGTTCAAATAAGTGTGGTTTGCAGAATTGTGGTAAACTGATGACCGTCAGTGGTTGTTGGTCTTATTTATAGAGACCTCGTCCCTGTTAGTTCTTAGTAAAGATCCAATAACTGAAAATAATTAAAACACATCAAGTATCATTAATGTGATGATTGAACAAGGGTCAAGATTATTAATATTTATAAAGGGAAAACTAATTTAATTTTTGATTGACAGATATTAAATCTGGATGGTTTAATAATTGTTATTACATTTTCCCATTACTCAATTACAACTTCTAAAGGTAAATAAAATAACATTAATGAAATGTCAAAATGTCACACATCACATATCGCATACTTACATATTATCTTGTTTCAAAACAGTTGACTTTTAGTAAAATAACCAATATATTTAAATTAGGTACCTAAATAAATTTTTCCATCCCATTTATAACTAAAATGTGACCTACTGTCAATCTATACTTATAAAATCCAAATACCACTCACTCACTGATCACTGTATCTCAAAAACTACTCAACGTACAGACTTGAAATTTGGAATAGGGGTTCTTCTCATATTTTCACCGTGCAATAAGAAAGGATTTTCAAAAATGTTGCGTTTTAGTGGAGTAATTAACAATTATAATTATTCACCGCCAATACGTATTGTGCGGCACGGCGGCCCGCGGGTTTCCAGCTACCTGCAACCTATCCTTTTTGTTCGTCGTCTAGAATAATTGTTATTGTTCCCAGAAGTTTATCGATAAAAATAATCTCATGCATCGCCCGTACACCAATTATAATGAACGATAACATAAACCAATACACATACAAATTCTATTTATTAGTTATTATTTCTCCAATCTCCATTGCCTTGCCACGGTGGCACGGTGCCTATACATTAAACACGTTCATTTCATTTGCACTCCGCACTACCAGCAGTTCGGACGTGCGTTACATATTATAAAATATTTACGGTGTTGTGTTCGTCTGCGCGTTAGGATTTGCCAAAATTCGCATTTTAAATAGGTGCTCAAACAGGGACATTGAGATTCACGATGGAAATTGGAAATTTTATTTTTATTTATTAATAGTTGCCATTGGTTACAGTCTACAGTAGAAATTAGCATTTATTTATTGGTTGCCATTGGTTATTCGGGCTGCAGATCAGGTACAAGCTTGCATCAAATCGAATTATTGAACATTGCCTACCAGGGTGGCTGAGTTGCACTTATCGCAGCAAGTTACACCCAAAAGGAGGTCAACAATCATAATTTTTTTAAGAGTTATACGAGTTTTTTAAGATTTTTTACGAGCCACCAAATTTGTTATATTAATCCACCGTATTATATCAAAATAAACTTGATATAACTTTGATACTTTAGAGTTTAATCATACACTTCCGTACAAACAGCACGAGGTCCGCGATCTACCGCAGGTAGATTGCCTACCTGATAATGTACTGCTCCAATTCAGAATTTTTATTCCGGGCAAAGGAAAAGATAAGATACATTTTGAACACCATACACCGAATATTGAATAACGAATTGAACAAAGGTTGAGTCATATTGAGTTGATACATTTAACGGGCGACGAAGTGCACGGGATCAGCTAGTATACACATAAAATTAATTAACATTATGAACTAGAATTGTGACTATAGAACCAATCTATTGTTTGAGTGTTTGAGTATTTGGTTGAACTCAAAAGCTAACTGTACATCGGTACCTATACATATCAGTATAAGGTTAGGATTTAGTATAGGTATTTAAATTAGCTTGATTACGGCATGAACAACGAAGACGAATTATTAGTTAAAAATAAATTACTATTATAGATACTTGGAACTTATATTAGCATTTTCTATAAATGATTACATTTTCATGATATTTTGAGATATTTATAGACATTTTACTTTGATATTTTTTCTTTAGTTTTTATTCTATAAATTCCGACAGTGGTGTATTTAGGTTTTTGTCATGGTGGGGGGGATATGATTTTATCCAGTAGCCCCGCTTTCAAAGCTAGATGCCTTAAGTTAGGACTTCGAAAAATTGTGCATATTTTATACAGCCTATGGGGGGGGGGGTTGATCCCCTTGATCCCCCTTAAATACGCCACTGAATTTTGCATGTTAGATATAGAAACTGAAAATTTAATACATGGTCGCTCATTAAATATTGATAAAAAAAAATTATTGAACATTGAATTCAAATTTTTTTTATAAGCATTTGAAGTTTAAATTTTGATAAATTTTGTTAAAATCACGAAAATTTTTTAATTATTTTCCAGTAGACATTTGAAATTTAAACTGTACGAAAATACATATTTGTGAACTTTCAAAAATTGTACACGTGAAGAATTATTGTCACATCGAACAAAATAATGTCCTCCAACAAAATTTATTTTGAATTAAACAGAATTATTTTCGGTGAACATTATTATCCACTGTCATAAAGGTATCTACTATCTATATTTACTGTCTGGACTAAATATAGCCTATATTATTGCTCAATGTAAATTTTCCTATTAGATGAAAAAAAGTCTATTAGTTTTATATTTACAATTTTAATCTCTAAACAAAATTTCAGGCAAGCTTTTGAGTTAAGAGATTTGGGATCTTAGAAGTTAGACTTTTGAGATATTACAAATTTAATTTAATTTCTAAAAAAAAAATAAAAAAATATAATTTAATATAAAACAATTATGTTATATCTATAAAATATAAATATAGGTACTTAAGTACTTATATACAATATACAAATCCGCAATGGCCAAGTTTCCGTAGCAATTGATAAATCTTTATATTATAAAGGTAAATATATATTATTAAGTTTAAGAGGATGTCAGCGCAATATTGGTTTTCTCTCTCAGGCTCACGCATAACATAAATAAAACGCTTTCACCTAAAATCGTTTTTCGATAAAATCCCTTATTACAAATATGATGGAGGATAATATTTTTAAGGATATGACATGTCGGTTTTATATTTTATAATTATTTGACATTGTGTTCGACTTTCAAAATAACACCATTTTTTTTTGTAAACTTAAATGATATTTAAATGGTTTTGAGGCAATATTTAGACAAATCTATACGTCATACCCTCAAAAATATTATTCTCTATCATTATTGTAATGGTATGTTACCCTAAGATTACTCAAAAACAAAAAAAAAAATATTCGGCGTAAACGCGTTTTGTCTATGTTGTGCGTGTACCAGAGAGAGAAAACTAACAGTGAGCTGATATCCTCTTAATCAATCAAATTTAATATAGTTAGATTTTATTTTAAAAATAGTATGTAATAAATAATATAATATATAAAAAACATAAAGGAGGAAAGTAGGTCACCGCTCTGCTGCACAGTTGGTGTCAAGTGTACCTTGTCATTTAGAAGGAAATCACCTCCGGAGACCGTCAATTGCGTCCCAACTCCCAGACTCAGTAAACGATTTTTTCCCTACCTTTTCTGTATTCCGATTGCATCCTATTGTATAGAAGGTAACTTAATATATTTGGCCCATATGGTGCGTATGGATCTATTTAAAAACGAATTGGTTTTATTTGAAGAGTTTAAGAAAATTTTATCTCACGGCCGGTACTCTTATCGATTTATATAATAATTATAATCAAGTAGCAATTTAATTTACAACTCATGGTATAGCTAAAACGCAGAGTGAAGTATTTAAAAAACAACAATTTATTGATAAACAAATAAACGAAATCAATAAACGAAAAATGAAAATAATCTATTATCATTAATCATAATTAATGATTACAAATAAACAATAAACGTAACATAAAAAAATTGCAAATAACGTTTGTGCGTTGAACTTAACATTAGGTACTATTGTTTTTAAACCGTGTAGTATATATACCTATGTAATAAGAGTAATATATAATAGTAATTTATATTTTTGAAATACTTTATCCCTGTTTGATTTATAACTATTGAATTTTGAATAGAATATTAGTTTATTTCTGTAATTCAAATTTCAATAAGATACAGAACTGTGAGCGTGTGGTTTGGTTACTTACCTACTAAATACTTATATAACATTAACATTATTATGCCATTTCAAGTTGTATTACTCCTATAAATATATTTTTTAAATAAAATCTATTACTTCATCATCCATTCATGCCAAAATATTTGAGAAATATTTTACATCTAAACTAACACTAACTTGCAAGTTATAGATACTTACTAAAAACCCTAGGATAATTGAAAATAATGTTTCCTGGACAACTAATTCTACTAATTTGATAGTTCTTACATCACAGTGTGGTTACCTAATTACCTATCTATACCGAAAATAGCAATATAATTTATAAAAAAAAAATTAATCGTTAAACAAAAAACAAAAAATTAAAATAAAGTTTAAGAATATAATAACGATGAACGGAAAAAAATCAAATAACGTTTGAAAGTACAATAACGATAAACATAAAACTGTATAACGTTTAAATATCCAAAAACATAAAAATTACATATTTATTTTAAATTTAAGCTTTAATTATATCCGGCCCTTTGGCCTTTACAATACCTTAAAACTATTTCACTTAAAACCCTTTTTTAAGATGTCAAGAAGATGTTTTTTTAAATTATTTAATCCTATATATTTGGACTGGTTTATATTTGTTTTTGGGTTACTATTTATTTAATAACACTGACAAAACAATAACTAATTATGACTATTAAATTCTAAATCTATCGATCCTAGAACTACGAATGTATTCAATAGTCCTTACTAAAATCATATTAAAATAGTGTCATTGAATGCAATATATATTATATAATATGGGACGCAATCGATCGACGCCCATCACTGTAATGTATGGAAAATC